CCCAGCCCTGACCCTTCACCTCCCAGTCCATCTCCTCCAAGCCCTGATCCTTCCCCCCCAAGCCCTGACCCATCACCGCCTTCCCCTTCACCGCCCAGCCCTGAACCTTCACCAACTAGCCCCTCACCGCCCAGCCCTGACCCCTCACCACCTAGTCCGTCACCCCCCAGCCCCGATCCTTCACCACCAAGTCCGTCACCGCCCAGCCCTCGCCCTTCACCACCCAGCCCCTCACCGCCCAGCCCTGACCCTTCACCACCCAGCCCCTCACCGCCCAGCCCTGACCCTTCACCACCTAGTCCGTCACCCCCCAGCCCCGATCCTTTACCACCCATTCCGTCACCTCCCAGCCCCGATCCTTCACCACCCAGTCCGTCACCGCCCAGCCCTGACCCCTCACCACCCACCCCTTCACCGCCAAGCCCTGATCCTTCACCACCCAGCCCCTCACCGCCCAGACCTGAACCCTCACCACCCAGTCCATCTCCTCCAAGCCCTGATCCCTCCCCGCCAAGCCCTGACCCATCACCGCCTTCGCCTTCACCGCCCAGCCCTGAACCTTCACCACCTACCCCTTCACCGCCCAGCCCTGACCCCTCACCACCTAGTCCGTCACCCCCCAGCCCCGATCCTTCACCACCCAGTCCGTCACCTCCCAGCCCCGATCCTTCACCACCCAGTCCGTCACCGCCCAGCCCTGAACCTTCACCACCTACTCCTTCACCGCCCAGCCCTCGCCCTTCACCACCCAGCCCCTCACCGCCCAGCCCTCGCCCTTCACCACCCAGCCCCTCACCGCCCAGCCCTGACCCCTCACCACCCAGTCCGTCACCGCCCAGCCCCGATCCTTCACCACCCAGTCCGTCACCGCCCAGCCCTTACCCCTCACCACCCAGTCCATCTCCTCCAAGCCCTGATCCTTGCCCGCCAAGCCCTGACCCATCACCGCCTTCCCCTTCACTGCCCAGCCCTGAATCTTCACCCCCCAGCCCCTCACCGCCCAGCCCTGACCCCTTACCACCTAGTCCGTCACCGCCAAGCCCTGATCCTTCCTCGCCAAGCCCTGACCCATCACCGCCTTCCCCTTCACCTCCCAGCCCTGAACCTTCACCACCTACTCCTTCACCGCCCAGCCCTGACCCCTCACCACCTAGTCCGTCACCCCCCAGCCCCGATCCTTCACCACCCAGTCCGTCACCGCCCAGCCCCGATCCTTCACCACCCAGTCCGTCACCGCCCAGCCCTGACCCTTCATCACCCAGTCCATCTCCAAGCCCTGATCCTTTCCCGCAAAGCCCTGACCCATCACCACCCAGCCCCTCACCGCCAAGCCCTGATCCTTCACCACCCAGCCCCTCACCGCCCAGCCCTGACCCCTCACCACCCAGTCCGTCACCCCTTAGCCCCGATCCTTCACCACCCAGTCTGTCACCGCCCAGCCCTGACCCCTCACCACCCAGTCCATCTCCTCCAAGCCCTGATCCTTCCCCGCCTAGCCCTGACCCATCACCGCCTTCACCTTCACCGCCCAGCCCTGACCCTTCACCACCTACTCCTTCACCGCCCAGCCCTCGCCCTTCACTACCCAGCCCCTCACCGCCAAGCCCTGATCCTTCACCACCCAGCCCCTCACCGCCCAGCCCCGATCCTTCACCACCTACTCCTTCACCGCCCAGCCCTGACCCTTCACCACCCAGTCCATCTCCTCCAAGCCCTGATCCTTCCCCGCCAAGCCCTGACCCATCACCGCCTTCGCCTTCACCGCCCAGCCCTGAACCTTCACCACCTACTCCTTCACCGACGAGCCCTGACCCCTCACCACCTAGTCCGTCACCCCCCAGCCCCGATCCTTCACCACCCAGCCTGTCACCGCCCAGCCCTGACCCTTCACCACCTAGTCCATCTCCTCCAAGCCCTGATCCTTCCCCGCCAAGCTTTGACCCACCACCGCCTTCGCCTTCAGCGCCAAGCCCTGAACCTTCGCCACCTATTCCTTCACCGCCCAGCCCTTCCCCTTCACCACCCAGCCCCTCACCGCCCAGCCCCGATCCTTCACCACCTAGTCCTTCACGGCCCAGCCCTCGCCCTTCACCACCCAGTCCGTCACCGCCCAGCCCTGATCCTTCACCACCCAGTCTCTTGGCTCCAAGCCCTGATCCTTCTCCGCCAAGCTCTGACACACCACCGCCCTCGCCTTCACCGCCAAGCCCTGATCATTTACCGCCCTCGCCTTCACTGCCAAGCCATGGCATTGTCGTACCCAGCTTCGCACCTCCGTCGCCCCCGCCAGGAGGACCCCAGCCAAGCCCGCTCCTCACCAGCCCTTCACCTCCTAGCCCTTCGCCTCCAGGGCCCGAGCCGCCCAACCCTGGACCAGAACCACCCACCCCTATTCTGAGCAGCCCCTCTCCACCCGTCACATCGCAGCCACCCAGCCCGTTGCCACCGTCTCCCGCACCATCACCTTTTCATCCCGTCCCCCCTAGCTTGGCGCCCCCCATCCCAATACCACCAAGTCCATTTCCTTCAGTTTCACCTCTGCCTCCAAGCCCTGCGCCCCCACGACCTTCTCCAAGCCCATCTCCAAGCCCCCCTCCATTGCCCCCTCCTGTTCCGCCTCCCCGACCCCCACCTAGCCCATCTCCACTTCCACCCAGTCCACTCCCACCCCCTCCCAGACCGCCTCCATTCATCCAACAGCCGTCTCCCTGGCCTCCAAGACCACCGCCACCCCTTCCAATCCCACTGCCCACACCACCACCGCCACCCCTTCCAATCCCACTGCCCACACCACCACCGCCAGCTCCATCACCTCCTCGTGTACCGCCTCCGGATCCGCTCAGTCCTCCACCTAGCCCACCGCCTTCCAACGCACCACCGTCACTTCCCCCTTCACCGTTTCCCCAACCCCCCTCACCTCCAACTCCACCCGCTACACCGCCTCCACTTATTCCTCCACCTCCGCCCCCCAAGCCTCCGAATCCTCGGCCCCCAAAGCGGCCATCTTCACCTCTAAAACCACCATCTCCAGCACCGCCGATACCCTATCCACCACCTCCAAGCCCCTCTCCCCCTCCGCCTTCAATTCCATTCCCACCCGATCCTCCACCCTCTCCACCTTCGCCTCCGCCAGAACCTCCGCTTCCACCACTCAAGCGTTACCGCTCACCTCCACGTCTCCCACCCCCACCCGCCCCGCCCCTGCCCTCCAGCCCGTCCCCTCCCTTTCCAATGAACCCACCATCCCCGCCAAGTCCTCCCCCGACTCCGCCAAAACGTCCGCGTGCGCCTAAACGGCCATCGCCCCCACCGCTGCAACCAGCCGCACCACCACCGCCACCACCAACGATGGTTTGGGGAAGCTCTGCTCATGGCCCATATGTGAGTATCGCCTCTCACTGCCTCAATAGATGCCGTCACTTGTTTGCGTTTCTGTTTATTGAGTTTCAATGCTAGGGCACTCTCGCATGCGTTGGGCACGCCCTGAGTGTTGTGGCTGCGGGTCTGTCGTATTGCGTTTGGTAATGTCTCCAAGGCTTCGTGAAGGCTGCATACGGGCTTGCCATGTTGCGCTTACTGTCGTTGACCACCTGGACGTTAAGTTAAGTTATGTGGCTACACTAGCTGACTTGTGGTTGTCGGCGCTTCCCAAAGAAGTGCAGCAGTGCAATTTTAAGGTTGAGGAGAGGCCGTTTCATGGCTACTACCCTTTTCCTGCCGCTTTCTGGCTGTCTGGGCTTAATGCCTCTGTCCATCTTTCCTAGGTTTCTATGGCTTTTGTTCCCTGGGTGCCTTTTGTTTGTTTGCTGGTTTTGCGGCTTACCTTGTTTCCCATGCATTGTAGGGTTCCGTTGGGTTTATCACCCGTGTTTTTGGGGAGGGAATCACCAGAACGGTCAATTATGTTGAAGTTAACAATCCCCATGAGTGCACCACGCAGGATCCCGAAGGAACCAGCGCCACCCTGGGCGACGTAAATCGGCTCCTGGGCCCTCCAAGCGAGAAGGCGCTGGCCGCTAAGAGCTGCAAGCCCGTGATCACCCTGGGGTGGGTCGCTACCATACGGGTAAGTTCATGCGACAACAGGGCATGCATTGACGGCACATGCCGATATGTACGACTTTCCGCGATGTCCCACGTCACTTAGCCCTGCGGGGGTATGTGTAAGCAGAACACAGTAAATGAAAGTGAACGGATGGTGACTGCATGAATGAATGACCGTTATAATGGTTCCCTAAACGGGAACACGGGTGATGAACCCAACCCGTGTGCGTCATTGCAGATGTCCTTCAATCACCTCTGTGCACCTTCCTATTGCTAAATGCTTGCAGAATCCCCGTTACGCGATCGTCAAGTTCAACGTCACACCCCCCGTCCTGGGGAGCCAGCTCCAGAGTGTGGACCTGTATCTGACCAGCCGTGGCAGTCTCGCACCCGGGATAACGTCCATCGAGATGCAGATGATGTCGCCCACCGATGTGCGTAGTAACTAACTATATGCTGCATCAGTTAAATTGGACGGTTAACTAGTGACAGTCCTACATCGGCGTTTAATCAGTAGTTGCCCGCATGAAACATCTTTGGACGCTTTCTGCACCTGTGCTGCAATTCTCCCCTAAATGCATGCAACCATGAGCATGTGTGTACTTCCATCACGCACTCGGAAAGGCGTGTCCTCACTACTTCGCTCGCGTTGTTGTTCTTGATATGCGTTTGCACTTAATGACTACCCTCCACGCACCCGCCAAACCCCACACACAGGGCACCACCCAGTGGCTCACCATCTACACAGCAAACGTAGAGGACCAGCTGACATGCCCGGGGTGGCAGGACTTCGGAGTAACACCTGAGACGGTGCAGTCCCAAATGGCTCTCAATGCGTACAGTGGTTACCAGGTGGTTGCCGTGAAGGTGAACGTCAACGGCAGCGATGTGGCAGACAAGACCGAGCTGCCGGTGGTGGCATCCCTTGGGCTGCACCTCTATGGTGACTCGGTGATCTCCGGTTCCTCAGGACCCAGCCCACCACCGCTGCCCCCAAGGTCTCCACGGCCACCAAGCCCACCTCCCGGCGCCCCGGGGCCCTCCCCTCCAGGTTCACCCTCGCCCAAGCCACCTAGTCCCCCACTGGGCTCTCCCCCCTCCCCGCGCCCGTCGCCACCGTCACCAGTGCCTCTCCCGCCTCCATCACCGCCAAATCCGTCACCTGTACCCCCTTCGCTGCCGCCTCCACCCTTTCTGCCACCCTCACCACGTCCTCCATCACCCTCACCCAAGCCACCAAGCCCTCCACCGCGTATGCCCCCTTCCCCGCGCCCCTCACCACCATCCCCAGCACCACAGCCGCCTCCACAGCCGCCAAGCCCGTCTCCTTCACCTCCTGCGCTGCCGCCTCCACCCTTCCTGCCACCCTCACCGCGTCCTCCATCACCCTCACCCAAGCCACCAAGCCCCCCACCGCGTATGCCCCCCTCCCCGCGCCCCTCACCACCATCCCCAGCACCACAACCGCCTCCACAGCCGCCAAGCCCGTCTCCGTCATCTCCTGCGCTGCCGCCTCCACCCTTCCTGCCACCCTCACCACGTCCCCCATCGCCCTCACCCAAGCCACCAAGCCCCCCACCGCGTATGCCTCCCTCCCCGCGCCCCTCACCACCATCCCCAGCACCAAAGCCGCCTCCACAGCCGCCAAGTCCTCCTCCTTCACCTCCTGCGCTTCCGCTTCCACCCTTCCTGCCACCCTCACCACGTCCTCCATCACCCTCACCCAAGCCACAAAGCCCCCCACCGCGTATGCCCCCTTCCCCGCGCCCCTCACCACCATCCCCAGCACCACGGCCGCCTCCACAGCCGCCAAGCCCTCCTTCTTCACCGCCTGCGCTTCCGCCTCCACCATATTTGCCACCCTCACCAAGTCCTCCTCCGCCATCGCCCAAGCCTCCCGGTCCCCCACCACGGGCGCCCCGTTTCCTGCGGCCTCCACCACCGTCACCAGTGCCTCTCCCGCCTCCATCACCGCCAAATCCGTCACCTGTACCCCCTTCGCTGCCGCCTCCACCCTTTCTGCCACCCTCACCACGTCCTCCATCACCCTCACCCAAGCCACCAAGCCCCCCACCGCGTATGCCCCCCTCCCCGCGCCCCTCACCACCATCCCCAGCACCACAGCCGCCTCCACAGCCGCCAAGCCCGTCTCCTTCACCTCCTGCGCTGCCGCCTCCACCCTTCCTGCCACCCTCACCGCGTCCTCCATCACCCTCACCCAAGCCACCAAGCCCCCCACCGCGTATGCCCCCCTCCCCGCGCCCCTTACCACCATCCCCAGCACCACAGCCGCCTCCACAGCCGCCAAGCCCGTCTCCTTCACCTCCCACGCTGCCGCCTCCACCCTTCCTGCAACCCTCACCACGTCCCCCATCGCCCTCACCCAAGCCACCAAGCCCCCCACCGCGTATGCCCCCCTCCCCGCGCCCCTTACCACCATCCCCAGCACCACAGCCGCCTCCACAGCCGCCAAGCCCGTCTCCTTCACCTCCCACGCTGCCTCCTCCACCCTTCCTGCCACCCTCACCACGTCCTCCATCACCCTCACCCAAGCCACCAAGCCCCCCACCGCGTATGCCCCCCTCCCCGCGCCCCTCACCACCATCCCCAGCACCACAGCCGCCTCCACAGCCGCCAAGCCCGTCTCCTTCACCTCCTGCGCTGCCGCCTCCACCCTTCCTGCCACCCTCACCGCGTCCTCCATCACCCTCACCCAAGCCACCAAGCCCCCCACCGCGTATGCCCCCCTCCCCGCGCCCCTTACCACCATCCCCAGCACCACAGCCGCCTCCACAGCCGCCAAGCCCGTCTCCTTCACCTCCCACGCTGCCGCCTCCACCCTTCCTGCAACCCTCACCACGTCCCCCATCGCCCTCACCCAAGCCACCAAGCCCCCCACCGCGTATGCCCCCCTCCCCGCGCCCCTTACCACCATCCCCAGCACCACAGCCGCCTCCACAGCCGCCAAGCCCGTCTCCTTCACCTCCCACGCTGCCTCCTCCACCCTTCCTGCCACCCTCACCACGTCCCCCATCGCCCTCACCCAAGCCACCAAGCCCCCCACCGCGTATGCCCCCCTCCCCGCGCCCCTCACCACCATCCCCAGCACCACAGCCGCCTCCACAGCCGCCAAGCCCGTCTCCTTCACCTCCTGCGCTGCCGCCTCCACCCTTCCTGCCACCCTCACCACGTCCTCCATCACCCTCACCCAAGCCACCAAGCCCCCCACCGCGTATGCCCCCCTCCCCGCGCCCCTTACCACCATCCCCAGCACCACAGCCGCCTCCACAGCCGCCAAGCCCGTCTCCTTCACCTCCTGCGCTGCCGCCTCCACCCTTCCTGCCACCCTCACCACGTCCTCCATCACCCTCACCCAAGCCACCAAGCCCCCCACCGCGTATGCCCCCCTCCCCGCGCCCCTTACCACCATCCCCAGCACCACAGCCGCCTCCACAGCCGCCAAGCCCGTCTCCTTCACCTCCCACGCTGCCGCCTCCACCCTTCCTGCCACCCTCACCACGTCCCCCATCGCCCTCACCCAAGCCACCGAGCCCCCCACCGCGTATGCCCCCCTCCCCGCGCCCCTCACCACCATCCCCAGCACCACAGCCGCCTCCACAGCCACCCAGCCCGTCTCCTTCACCTCCTGCGCTGCCGCCTCCACCACATTTGCCGCTATCACCAAGTCCTCCTCCGCCATCGCCCAAGCCTCCCGGTCCCCCACCACGGTCGCCCCGTTTCCTGCGGCCTCCACCACCGTCACCAGTGCCTCTCCCGCCTACGTCACCGCCAAATCCGTCACCTGTACCCCCTTCGCTGCCGCCTCCACCCTTCCTGCCACCCTCACCACGTCCTCCATCGCCCTCACCCAAGCCACCAAGTCCCCCACCCCGAATGCCTTCCTCCCCGCGCCCCTCACCACCATCCCCAGCACCAACGCCGCCTCCTTCGATGCCACGCCCCTCTCCTGTACCTCCGTCACTACCCTTGTTCCCTCCACCTCCACATCCTCCACTTCCCTCACCCAAGCCGCCTCGGGCCCCACCCCGAAGTCCCCCCTCACCACCTCCCACCCCACCTTCACCGCTGCCTCCGGCACCACCTTCACTGCCCAGCCCGTCTCCCGCACTTCCCGCGCTGCCGTCCACACCACTGTTAGCGCCACCCTCGCCCAGTCCTCCAGCACCCTCGCCCAAGCCACCATCACCCCTGCCACCTCGGCCTGCTGCTCCTCAACCAAGCCCAACACCCGTGACACCTGCGCTGTCGAGTCCGCCTCTTACCCCACCTCCACCCCCGCCCACGTTCCCGCCCTCTCCACGATCGCCTTCGTCCTCGTCAGGCCCCCCATCCCCTCCACCCAAGCGTCCTCGGGCGCCTCGCCCCTCACCCTCACCGCCGCTGCAACCGCCCGTGCCTCCACCACCACCACCAAGGATGGTCTGGGGAAGCTCTGCTCGTGGCCCATATGTGAGTGCTCCCTAATACAATGCATGCATACAGCCAAGTGCTCAACTACGGCAGCACCTTGTTTAACTGAGGGTCCATGTACTTTCCATGATGAGCGCTACCTCATGCCTGTGACACACCGCTTCTTTACATGTTCATCCTGACCCGCAGGATCCCGAAGGCAGCAGCAACACCCTTGGCAACGTCAACCGGCTGTTGGGCCCTCCCAGTGACCTGGCGCTGGCTGCCAAGACATGCAAAGCGGTCCTCACCCTGGGATGGGTCGCTACCATACGGGTGAGTCCAGTGGCATCTTTAGGATGGGGGATGGGGTCACGCAACCCTTCACTGACCTTGTCAGCAGTCGCAAGACTCAGCATTCGAAAGGAATTACCATGCATGTTGCCTTGAAGGTTACCGTAGCTCAGGATCGCAAGACGTGCGGGGTGTGGATCGTGTGACACAACACTTCCTTGCTTCCTTTCATGCTTGCAGAACCCCCGCTACGCGGTCGTGGACTTTAATGTCACGCCCCCCGTCATGGGGAGCCAGCTCCAGAGTGTGGACCTGTATCTGACCGGCCGCGGCAGTCTCGCACCCGGCATAACGTCCATCGAGATACAGATGCGTTCACCTACCGAGGTAAGTTTGGCACATGTGTCTTTGGCCGATCCTACCGGTATACAATAGGATGTACATATCGAACAATCCGTAGGTAGCCCCTGCTGAGGGTTGCATGCTTGACCCAGCAGCCAACGCATCCAACAGTTGGATGTCCACAGGTTGTCATGTACGGCGGGCTTCTGGCCCTGCATGGCACAACAAGGCTCCCTCGACGTGGTCATATCACATTTCCCGAATTTTCCTTGACCCTACCCCTTCAACCCTCTCTCTCCTCGCAGGGCACCACCCAGTGGTTGACCATCTACACGGCGACACCAGCGGACGTGCTGACGTGCCCCGGGTGGAACTACTTTGAGGCACCACCTGAGACGGTGCAGACCCAGATGGCGCTGGATGCGTACAAGGCGGATGAAGTGGTTGCTGTGAAGGTCAACGTCAACGGCACCGATGTGGCAGACAAGACCGAGCTGCCGGTGGTGGCATCTCTTGGTCTTCACCTCTACGACGACTATGTGATCTCGGGTTCCTCAGGACCCAGCCCACCACCGCTGCCCCCAAGGTCTCCCCGACCCCCAAGCCCGCCCCCAAGCGCCCCGGGGCCCTCCCCTCCAGGCCCCAAGACGCGACCGCCACCCAGCCCAAAGCTGCTGCCATCCCCACCCAGCCCTGCACCTTCACCCCGTGCACCTCCATCCCAGCAGCCTGTGCCTCCAATGCCAAGTCCACACCCGCCTCCGCCGACGCCATTCAAGCCTTCACCTACGCCGACAAATCACCCCCCGCCGTCCCCACTTCAGGCTCCCAGTGCTCCCCACCCTCCCCCATCACCCTCACCGCCTTCTCCAACAGCGGGCCCGTCACAAGCGGGTTCTATTCCACCCTCACCGCCACGGCCTTCGCCACCGCTACCAAGCCTCCCGAGCCCTTCACCAGGACAACCTGTACTACCATCACCGATGCACGGGACGTCTGCACCGCCAAGCCCAAGACCCCCTTCACCTCCATCCCCTGCACAAGCACCCCTGCCACCTCGGCCTGCTGCTCCTCAACCAAGCCCAACACCCGTGACACCTGCGCTGTCGAGTCCGCCTCTTACCCCACCTCCATCCCCGCCCACGTCGCCGCCCTCTCCACGATCGCCTTCGTCCTCGTCAGGCCCCCCATCCCCTCCACCCAAGCGTCCTCGGGCGCCTCGCCCCTCACCCTCACCGCCGCTGCAACCGCCCGTGCCTCCACCACCACCACCAAGGATGGTCTGGGGAAGCTCTGCTCGTGGCCCATATGTGAGTGCTCCCTAATACAATGCATGCATACAGCCAAGTGCTCAACTACGGCAGCACCTTGTTTAACTGAGGGTCCATGTACTTTCCATGATGAGCGCTACCGTATTGCCCAAAATTTAATTGACAAAATTAAAATGTTTTGGGTTTTGTCAAATGGGGCAAAAATGGTTTTTTGCCATGTCAAATGGGGCTGGAAATTCGCTGGCAAGGTGTCAAATGGGGGCAAAATATTCCGCTTGGGGTGACTGCAGGGTAACTAAGATGGGAACGGAGAGATAGGGGGCAACTGACTTGCCAGTGCGCTGGATCCTCACCGCGCCATGCCCAGTCAGGGTTTCCAACTGGTGTTCCACTTATCCTCCTAGGGCTGCACAGCGGCATATAGCTGAACAGCTCCTTTCCTTACCATGTTACATGCAACATGTACGGCGGCTTTTGGGGCGTTTTGGCGCATGTCAAATGGGGCTAGAAATTCGCCATCAGGAAGTCAAATGGGGCATAAATTACTCCCGCTTTGTCAAATGGGGCTGGAAAATAGGCCTCCAAACGCATGTCAATTAAATTTTGGGCAATACGGTACCTCATGCCTGTGACACACCGCTTCTTTACATGTTCATCCTGACCCGCAGGATCCCGAAGGCAGCAGCAACACCCTTGGCAACGTCAACCGGCTGTTGGGCCCTCCCAGTGACCTGGCGCTGGCTGCCAAGACATGCAAAGCGGTCCTCACCCTGGGATGGGTCGCTACCATACGGGTGAGTCCAGTGGCATCTTTAGGATGGGGGATGGGGTCACGCAACCCTTCACTGACCTTGTCAGCAGTCGCAAGACTCAGCATTCGAAAGGAATTACCATGCATGTTGCCTTGAAGGTTACCGTAGCTCAGGATCGCAAGACGTGCGGGGTGTGGATCGTGTGACACAACACTTCCTTGCTTCCTTTCATGCTTGCAGAACCCCCGCTACGCGGTCGTGGACTTTAATGTCACGCCCCCCGTCATGGGGAGCCAGCTCCAGAGTGTGGACCTGTATCTGACCGGCCGCGGCAGTCTCGCACCCGGCATAACGTCCATCGAGATACAGATGCGTTCACCTACCGAGGTAAGTTTGGCACATGTGTCTTTGGCCGATCCTACCGGTATACAATAGGATGTACATATCGAACAATCCGTAGGTAGCCCCTGCTGAGGGTTGCATGCTTGACCCAGCAGCCAACGCATCCAACAGTTGGATGTCCACAGGTTGTCATGTACGGCGGGCTTCTGGCCCTGCATGGCACAACAAGGCTCCCTCGACGTGGTCATATCACATTTCCCGAATTTTCCTTGACCCTACCCCTTCAACCCTCTCTCTCCTCGCAGGGCACCACCCAGTGGTTGACCATCTACACGGCGACACCAGCGGACGTGCTGACGTGCCCCGGGTGGAACTACTTTGAGGCACCACCTGAGACGGTGCAGACCCAGATGGCGCTGGATGCGTACAAGGCGGATGAAGTGGTTGCTGTGAAGGTCAACGTCAACGGCACCGATGTGGCAGACAAGACCGAGCTGCCGGTGGTGGCATCTCTTGGTCTTCACCTCTACGACGACTATGTGATCTCGGGTTCCTCAGGACCCAGCCCACCACCGCTGCCCCCAAGGTCTCCCCGACCCCCAAGCCCGCCCCCAAGCGCCCCGGGGCCCTCCCCTCCAGGCCCCAAGACGCGACCGCCACCCAGCCCAAAGCTGCTGCCATCCCCACCCAGCCCTGCACCTTCACCCCGTGCACCTCCATCCCAGCAGCCTGTGCCTCCAATGCCAAGTCCACACCCGCCTCCGCCGACGCCATTCAAGCCTTCACCTACGCCGACAAATCACCCCCCGCCGTCCCCACTTCAGGCTCCCAGTGCTCCCCACCCTCCCCCATCACCCTCACCGCCTTCTCCAACAGCGGGCCCGTCACAAGCGGGTTCTATTCCACCCTCACCGCCACGGCCTTCGCCACCGCTACCAAGCCTCCCGAGCCCTTCACCAGGACAACCTGTACTACCATCACCGATGCACGGGACGTCTGCACCGCCAAGCCCAAGACCCCCTTCACCTCCATCCCCTGCACAAGCACCCCTGCCACCTCGGCCTGCTGCTCCTCAACCAAGCCCAACACCCGTGACACCTGCGCTGTCGAGTCCGCCTCTTACCCCACCTCCATCCCCGCCCACGTCGCCGCCCTCTCCACGATCGCCTTCGTCCTCGTCAGGCCCCCCATCCCCTCCACCCAAGCGTCCTCGGGCGCCTCGCCCCTCACCCTCACCGCCGCTGCAACCGCCCGTGCCTCCACCACCACCACCAAGGATGGTCTGGGGAAGCTCTGCTCGTGGCCCATATGTGAGTGCTCCCTAATACAATGCATGCATACAGCCAAGTGCTCAACTACGGCAGCACCTTGTTTAACTGAGGGTCCATGTACTTTCCATGATGAGCGCTACCGTATTGCCCAAAATTTAATTGACAAAATTAAAATGTTTTGGGTTTTGTCAAATGGGGCAAAAATGGTTTTTTGCCATGTCAAATGGGGCTGGAAATTCGCTGGCAAGGTGTCAAATGGGGGCAAAATATTCCGCTTGGGGTGACTGCAGGGTAACTAAGATGGGAACGGAGAGATAGGGGGCAACTGACTTGCCAGTGCGCTGGATCCTCACCGCGCCATGCCCAGTCAGGGTTTCCAACTGGTGTTCCACTTATCCTCCTAGGGCTGCACAGCGGCATATAGCTGAACAGCTCCTTTCCTTACCATGTTACATGCAACATGTACGGCGGCTTTTGGGGCGTTTTGGCGCATGTCAAATGGGGCTAGAAATTCGCCATCAGGAAGTCAAATGGGGCATAAATTACTCCCGCTTTGTCAAATGGGGCTGGAAAATAGGCCTCCAAACGCATGTCAATTAAATTTTGGGCAATACGGTACCTCATGCCTGTGACACACCGCTTCTTTACATGTTCATCCTGACCCGCAGGATCCCGAAGGCAGCAGCAACACCCTTGGCAACGTCAACCGGCTGTTGGGCCCTCCCAGTGACCTGGCGCTGGCTGCCAAGACATGCAAAGCCGTCCTCACCCTGGGATGGGTCGCTACCATACGGGTGAGTCCAGTGGCATCTTTAGGATGGGGTGCAATTCAAGGACACGCAAACCATATCCTTTGCCAAAACGTCATGACTCAAAGGATTTACAACGCATTGGGGATAGCCATGCATGCTGCCTAGTAGGCCTGCAATATGGGTGGTATGTGGACCGTGTGGCATAACACTTCCTTGCCTTCCTTTCATGCTTGCAGAACCCCCGCTACGCGATCGTGGACTTCAACGTCACGCCCCCCGTCCTGGGGAGCCAGCTCCAGAGTGTGGACCTGTATCTGACCAGCCGTGGCAGTCTCGCACCCGGGATAACGTCCATCGAGATACAGATGCGTTCACCGTTTGCGGTGCGTCGTATTCAACTGGCATGCCTCGTTTCTGCGTAATTCCCTTGATTCTTTATCCGTTGGGTCACTTTAAGCTAGGTCTACGCCTTTCCGTACTACTTGTCGTACTACTTCTTCAATACTTCTCCTCGGCGCATATGCCTCATATATCTGGTAATTTTTCAAGACCACCAGTATGGGACTACTGGGCAATAGGATATATATAGCATTTAAAGGAAGTCCATCGCCTTCTATTTTCTTTTATTATAGACTTATGTACGTACCTCAAGACGTACGGTTGTACCTGCTCCTGCGGGTTGCATACCTTGACCGAGCAGACACAGGCATCGACCGGATGCCTCCAGAGTGACTCGGCGGGCTGTCTTGCCAGGCATGATACAAAAAAGGCTTCTGTGGTGCATGCATTGCCACCCACTATGACCCCACCCCTTCATTCAACCCTCTCTCCCCTCGCAGGGCACCACCCAGTGGCTGACCATTTACACGGCGACCACAGCGGACGTGCTGACGTGCCCCGGGTGGAACTACTTTGAGGCACCACCTGAGACGGTGCAGACCCAGATGGCGCTGGATGCGTACAAGGCGGATGAAGTGGTTGCCGTGAAGGTCAACGTCAACGGCACCGATGTTGCAGACAAAACCGAGCTGCCGGTGGTGGCGTCTCTTGGGCTGCACCTCTATGGTGACTCGGTGATCTCCGGTTCCTCAGGACCCAGCCCACCACCGCTGCCCCCAAGGTCTCCCCGACCCCCAAGCCCACCGCCTCCGCTCGCTCTAGCTTCTTCAACCACTCGCAGGCTCACCTCATCACTGACGCCGACATCACCTTCAAAGCCCACACACTCATGGCACCTCCATCCTTCTTCTTCCCCAGCACCGGACGTCATGGTTTGGGCAACCTCTGCAACCTGCTATGTAGGTCATCGCAAAAAGGCGGTCAATGCACGCTGTTCCCCTGATGTTGCTGGATCCTACTAGTTTGTCAATTGGTCCCATGCATGTACGCAGGATAACAGCTCAACGTCGGGCGCCATACTGAAGCGCATGGTGGGGCCTCCTAGTGCCAAAGTCCTCGCCATCAAGGGATGCAAGGCAACGTCAACCTTGGGCTGGGTTCCATCTATGAAGGTTAGTCAATGGAATACATACTGCTAAAACTGCTAAAAGGAAAGGGAAACTGCCCCCCGGGCTGCCCGGGCAGTGAGGGCAGTGAGGGGGGCCCGGCACCTGAGGGTTCAATTGACATCCAGATAAATGGCTGCCTCCAATAATGTCGGTAGAACCAAACGACTTATGGAGTACCGGTGCAGTTACGGGCTACGAAGCGGCTGGCAAAATCACCGGTTGTTACCGTGTCTATATGTGGCGTGTTATTAAAACAGCTAGGCCTTACTGTACGGCCTAAGTACACACGGACGTGACATCTGAGTTCCCTCGCTCTCTTTCCGTGCCGTCCAGAGTCCAAGCTATGCTGTTGCCAACTTCAACGTTAGCCCCCTCGTCATTGCCAACCGTGTGGAGAGTGTTGATGTGTACCTTCTCAGCCGCGGCACTTCAAACCACGGCATTACCTCCATCGACATCCAGTTGATGGCAACTGCCGAGGTACGTGTAAGCCTTTGTATCACCTCTTCCGCTGCTCTACCTCTGCTCGCTGGCTTGACAGCAGAACCACGGATCCTTGCTTCCTAAATCAGTAAGCTCACTCAGCGCTAACAGAGGGGATGGGAACCGAGACTTTATGGGCCTTTCCTAAGGTCGTGATGATCCTTGCCACCGCCGCTGGTATACCCCACACAGGGAGTGAGTCATTGGACAACCATTTACACAGCCAGTGCGGCAGATCGCCTCGTATGCCCGGGAATGAATCGCTTTCCTGTGAAGGGCAGCGCCGTGCAGTTGTCCATTACACAGGAGGTCCTCGGCGCGGCTCAGGTGGCGGCTGTGAAAATACACGTTAACGGCACTGCCGTTGCCTACAAGAGCCAGTTGCCAATTGTAGCCGCAGTCGGGCTCAATCTTGGCGGTGGCACGGCCTAATTCATTAATAGTGTTAGCAGCAGTAGTAGTAGACAAAATGTGGAGCCTCTCATTTCCGTTTCAGTGCGCCGACGTCAGTCCTATGTCAAGGTTGAAATCGGATGCCATATATATGCCATATGGGTTTCTGGATGTTTACCCAGTTGATGCGCATTAATGGTCATTCATTTGTCATGAGTAAGGCGCGCCGAGCGACCCTCCCCTAAGAGCATTTTTTTCGCGACTCAGGGGCGGCGTCACTCTAAGCCTAAAGCTGCCCAAGGACCCTAGTTGTCACTACTGCTGCCGTATAGTGCCGTAAGGCGCCGACACACTATACTTTGACCACACCGCCTCTGCTACTGTGTGTGTATTGAAGGCTACTAACGGGGCTGTATATCGAGACTTGTAAGCGTGCGGAAGTAGTGTAACGGGGTAATATCCAAGCACGTATGTCCACCTAAGTCTTATCAGTAGTAAGAGACCGTAGGTTGTTGTTGCCGTACCAAGTACTTGTTTGCAGTGGCAGGCAAGGGTAAGGTACAGAAGAGGGAAGGGGCTGTTGCTGACCTTCCAAACGTGCGAGAGTAAAGGGCGCTAGGGGTGCGACCCTTGTTGACAGGAGAGTAGTCTTGCTTTGCCTTGACTTGTTACCAGAAAGGGGAGAAGGGCTATCGGGCCTTTGCCGGAACTGTCTGCCTACCCGTCTCCTGGGTTAGGATCTTGGACTAGTTAACTAAAATAACACAAAACTCCGTCTTATATGTATGTATGTATGTATGTATGTATGTGTTACAAGCTTCGTACCGAGCTCGTAAGATCCGTCCGAGCCAGAAGGCTCATGGATCGCGAGCACAAAACGCGAAAACAACCAAAAGAAGAAAAGTAAACAAAAGAGACAACAAACAGAACGCTAATCATATGATAAACCCTGTCTGCGCAATCCTGCGACTTCGCATGCTAGTGATTACGCTAGCAAGCAATGCCTGATTCTCCATGCCCATGACAGCAATCATATCAGCATCCCGTGAGACACCACTTTCCCATATCTTATCACGCAAATCATCGTAAGCGGGACATTCAATGAGGATGTGTTTCTCATCTTCCACTCTCCCCGGCGACCCCTGCACGGCACACATAGGACAGACACGCGCTACTCGTTGCCTACCCCTAGGGCGATTGGCTTCAATGCCCCGCACACACAGCCGAAAACGCATCAGGTTCACATGCTGCCGCTGAGTAATGTACCCCCTGTCGACCGGGTCACCCATCCAATTTTTGTACCTGCACATCTTAACTCCAACCCCTGGTACGGGGTCTACTGGGTTGAAAAGCCGCGGGTCATCTTCCAAACTCCTATCCTCCCAATCCGCATCCATTCTATCAGCAAACTTTTTAGTGAGAGCAGACACATTTAGCTCCGTGCCAGCAATACGTTCCACACGCGCATTCAAGTCCAACTCACCCCCCAAGGCCGTCAAATCCGTCCCTAACATTTTCAGAATCTTCAACACCTTAGAACCCCAGCCATCATAATGCTCAGTACTGAGAGCCGAACGAATTTCACCTCGCAACGCCTGGTGGTAGACCGTGTCCTTCTGCTTGACCAGGTCATTCCAAAACCTCAGAAACAGTTCCAGCCAGAAGACATGCAAGGGGCGCTGGTTAAACTCCTTAAACAGCAACTTATCAGGCGAGACTTTCACACCCGCAATCTCCCGAAGAAATTCCCTTTGTAACTGCACCATTGGGTCCCGCAAGGATCTGTCAAAGTACCTCGCGGAATTCTCGCAGTCCGTCATTAGCTTCAGCACCACATCAGGCCCCCACACCTGGACACCGTACGACAAGATGGAGCGGACTTGCACGTCGAAGCACTTAACTGCAACAGCAGGGACCAAAAGACCTAGGCGTTTTAATTTACGCTGAAGAGAAAACATAGCACGTCGGCCAGAGGTCAACAGTTCCTCTGTGCAGGAAACAAACGGTGTGCCAGGACCAAAGTGCAAACCAAGGTAACGGGCTCGTTGTACCCAGGGAATAACCATAGGTACTCGCGCATTTCCCTCAATAGAAGTCCACACCACGGGGCAAAGGGCAGCAAAAGCCTCGCGGATATTGGCACGAGGGTGGAAAATCATCAATTCACATTTACGAACATTCACCCGCATCCCAAAGGCCTCACACCACTCTCTCAAATCAGCAAGCAACACCATCAGCCGTCTGTGCGTCGTAGCGAAAAGGCTGAGGTCGTCGGCATACAGTTCCAACGGGATACGCCGGCCATCCGCATGGGGAGTCTGCTGCTTAGCGCGCATAGCATCAGGGAGCCACTTATCCTTAGCGTCAACATAGTCAGCAAACCCCTCGCCAAAAATCCCGTAAAGCGTAGGGCTGAGAGGGCATCCTTGCTTGACTCCCTGCGAAGATTCAAAAGGATCCCCCGTCACTCCGTCTACCCTGACACGCATCATGACCTTGTTGTAACAAGTCTTGAGAGCCTCCAACATAGCGCCATGCACACCCCGTTCCTCCAACCTTAACCACAAGAGATCACGTGGCACCTTGTCAAACGCTTTCTCAAAGTCAATCTGACAAACGAACAGGGGGTCAACTGCATCTCGCCCCCCCTTATGTTTGTCCGTCAGATGTCGCAACAAAAACAGGTTGTGGCAGGTACCCCGCTTGCGTCGGAAACCTCCCTGATACGGCGACCTAGCTCCCACCAGCTCGCCCCAACGAGACAGCCTGTGCTCCAACATAAACGCATAAAGCTTAGACAAAACACCACCCACTGCTAAACCCCTATAGTTACCCTTCTCCATCACATCGCCTTTTTTGTGGATGGGCGTGAGCGCAGAGACCTCAAACTGCACAGGATAATCCCCCGTGCTGCGGATATGCTCTAGTAGCTTGAGCAGGTAAGGGGCTAAAACAAACATCCTTCTACCCTCAACCTCTCTCGTCGCACACTTGAAACATTCAGCCGGTACTCTGTCCAAACCCCCAGACTTGTTATTACGCAAAGACTTCAGCGCAGCAATGACTTCCGCCAAGGTGAACGGAACATTGAGCGCAGCAGCAGCGGTGACTCGTGCTACCCGATCGCCTGTCGCCCTTACCCATCCTCTTCCCCTCCCATGTGGTACACCGTTGATGGTACTAAGGATGGTGTCCGCGGAAACTTCGTTAAACGCATTGACTTCCCCATTAAACAGCGCATTAAAGTAGGCTCCCCAACTGTTGACATCCGTGATAGGGCACCCCTGACTAAATCTGCCATTCAGCCGACCCCACAGCGCCCGTGGATCCCCCCGACATTCTTCGATAACTCCTTCAAAATGCATGACCCGGAACTTGTCCTTAGCCTCCCTGCGTAGACGTTGATACTTCGTGCGCAACCGACTGAACTCAGCTCTGGCATCCTGATCCCCCAGCAGACCGTTAGCACGCATGAGCGCCTTTTGAGTAAACATGGCCTCACGGGCCTCCGCACACTCAGGTGTCCACCAAGGCGCATCCTTGTCCGTCCTGCCTGCACTAGGAATGGACCCTTGCCTCCTCTCAAGACGAAACGTGGCGTCAATAGCCTTCTTAAGAGCCCGACAGATCACTGTAACAACCTCCGTACTGTTAAGACCATGGCCCAGTTGGCTAACAGCCTCGTCAATCTTCTGTACGACAGCAGCATCTTCTACCTCAAATAGGCGCGTGTACCGCTCCCACTCACGTTTCCCCAGGCGAGAGGAACCCGTGTTGCCACCCCTTCGCCTTCCTCCTAATCCAACGTCCAGAGTGAGTGACACCGGGCAGTGATCGCTGAGCCTCGATCCCACTTTAGGCCCCTCTATAGCAATGGGGATGCCAAGCACTTGCAAATGCGACGCCCGCGAGAACAAAGCAGGCGTGCAGACAAAAAGATCAATCATACTGCAGGCAAGGCCGTGGGCGTGGTAGAACGTGAACTCACCCTCCATGTCACCGGGCACACGACCATTCATGATAATCAGTTCAGTTTCGCGGCACAGCTCGACTAAACCTTGCCCAAATGGGTTGCTGGATGGGTCCTTACTGCGCCTGCTCGGCATGCCTTGAATGAGCCCATTACCTCCGATCGACACACCTGCCGCCGCCTCCAGTTCAGCATCAGCCTGGAGATCTGGTATATCACTCAAGCTGGCTACTCGCGCATTGAGGTCCCCCAAAATGAGGATTTCATCGCATGGACGCACATATCTTCGCAACAAGGCACGGAGTCGACCAAAAACACGATCCACGGTGTCAGTACGCCTTCTACCCGCATGGTCATTGTACTGAGCAGAACCTTGGGGTGCTGCATAACAGGCTGCTATCAGCAAACTACGCCCCCCCATATTAAGAGCATGCCCTTTCACCCTTAACCAGATACTCTCCATGCCCTTAGGAACCTTAGACACACCAAGGAGCTGCACATCCCTAGCTAACATACGATTTACCCAGACAGCTACCCCACCTCTGTTGGGCGTGCCATCTACTGTGAACAGGAGCGTACCCGACGGTAGCATCTCCTTCACTACCGTATCTCCCACTAAATGCGTTTCCGTAATCACCACAATGTCATAACTACCCGCTATACCCCGTAACTCATTGTTATCAGGTTTCCAGTCCTTAAGCCCGCGAATATTCCATTGTACTACTTTCAACGCACCAGCCCTCTGGCTCGGACTCCTCTAGGTGTCCTCCATGGTGTCCGCTCCCGCCGGGGCCCCGTAGGGCCCGGTGTAGGGCACCAATCTCCCATCTGCTCCCACTATCTTGATCTCCGCTCCGCGGTCCCAGCGGGGCTGTTTGCCCTCGGCCTTGAGGCGCGCGTACGTGGACTGGCGTCTCGTCTTCGCCTCCCACCCGGCCTTGGTCAGGCAGTCCTGGACGTTGATGCCGTAGCGCTCCCGAAGTGGCTTGCCCAGTGCCGCCGCCACCGTCTTGCGTGCGTCCTCGTGCACCAGCAGGTCAACCCGCGTCATGGGTGCCTGCTGCCGGCCACCCTGCGCCGGGGCTGCGGCAGCCGCGGCATCTGCTGCGGCGCCTCTCGCTCCCAGCTTCGGCGGCACGGTGATGAGCTGCACTCCGATGACATCGTGCGGGCGTACCTCCTTGAGGATGCTGGGAACAATGGTGTGCAGTTCCGACACGTGCTGTGGTGGCACACGCAGGATCAGCTTGCGGGGCTGCACGTACTGCTTGGTGCTGCTTGCTTCCACCGCCTCCAGCCTCCCCTCCAGGGTATCCATTCGCGACTGCACCTTGGCCAGACCAGTGCACATCTCATCATGCCTAGTCTCGATCTTCTCAAGCCGCTTGTCCAGCCGGTTCTCTAAGTTTTGAATCGCCGCCATGAGATCAGAGAGGCTCGGCTGCGGGTTGCTGCCCGCAGGCCCCGATCCATTGCGGCTGCCGGACATTCCAGCCGCCGCCGCTTCTATCGCGTCTCTGGCTTCTTTAGCTCTTTCAACTAGTTGTGGAAGTGTTATTGTCTTAAAACGTGCTGTTTTGGGTGCACTAGAGCTAGGCGTCCCTGAAGCGTGTCGCTTTCTTAGATGCATGCCTCATCTCTAACATTTAACGGGAACGTAAATTCAGGTCCGTCTTATATACTAATGGGAAAAGTACGACATTTGTACGACAATTGTACGGAAACCTACTATTGGCCTGCCAGATCCTACTATGGCAGCTGCCAGAAGCTGCCAACGTAATTTTAGAACAATCCAGACACTCTAGAACATTCCAGAGGCCTTTCGCCACCTTCGGACAGCTTCCCGTACTTGGTCTCGGAGGCCAACAGACCATTGCTTAAATCCCTTCCACGAACTATAAAAGGGAACTCATAAAAGGTATAATTTCGTCCAACCGATTGCAGTATAACAACAAAGCATATTCGGGAAGTACCAGCGCATCCAGATGCCGAACCGCAAACCGAGCAAACTACTGTTAGGGCGAGATTTACCAGTCAGAAGCAAAGCACTAAAGGCTGTTTAGCAATCTATGGTAAATTCCATGACAGCTGTCATGAGTTTCCCCTGCTAGCGCGAACTGCCCCGGTTCGCTCGGCACAAAGTGCTCCGGCGCAAGCGCACATTTTGTGGCGTACAACTAATTCATAACAACAATTCTAGCGCTCTTGATCAACTCCTTCCCTAATCGTCTTGTGGTACTCGTACTAGCCCGCGGGGCTCCGAGGTCCGGGGTCCGTTTGTTCGTCCAAGGGGCTGGCACAAGCCTATCCCGATTACTAAGGCATCTATCTGAAGCTCATGCCGTGGACGGCGCTAAGTCGCAGCAAGCAGGTCTGGCTGACCCGTGGGACTCTTATAACCACGACAGCCACACACGTAACAAGAGCTTTAGATAGCTCGTAGCCATGGCATTCTCCACGCTTCAAGGACTCACTGCCGGCTCCAAACAGCCTCTCCGTCGCTGGGATCCACACGCTTGCTGTACAGACCTAGCGTCGGCTGTTTCGTATTTAAAGCTTGCATATGGCTCCTTGCAGTGATACTTCACAGCCTGCTGCCCCTTAAGCTGGGAATTCGGCTGGTGGTAGGGTTGCGGGATCGGTGTTCCCCTGCTAAGATCGAACTTCGGGTGGGAAGAGCCGACGTAGCTGCTGATAGTGAAGAGTAGAGCAGGACGTAGGGCAGAGACAGCCGCCCACATGCTGTTACTTGGAAGCGACCCAACCCCTTAACGCACAATCCTTCTTCCCTCCAGGGTCTATCACCGTAGGGGCTGTTGATGCGGTAGTCCTAGCTTCCTTCTCCAGCTCCACTGCTGCCCTTTCGGCGCTTGATGACGGGTAAGGGTACTGGGTGATTGGTGGTGAACGCCCGGGGTTGATACGCATGGGAGTCCACAGAGGGAAATCCAGTTCTTGGGTGGTTGCTGCGAACATGCTATAGTTGCTTAGCAGGCAGGTAGATGCCACAGCGTCGCTGGCAGGGGCCAGCAGCGCAGGGTCCTCCTGGTTAGCCATGAGTAGAGCCGCCCGTGGCCCGTAGCCTGCACTGCTGCAGGCTACTCAGCCACGCTCCTGCATAGAGTCGAGTACGGTCTCGTCCAGCGGGTGGAGGCTCCGGGTCCAGGTAGGTGTCGTCCGCTGGCATCGAGACATCCTCCTTAACAACCGCCAGCGGGGCCGTACACAGAAGATCAAGCGTACTGCATAGCAGTCCTAGCGGATTGGCGTACGTAACCCCAACCTCCAAGATGTCGATGTTGGCAGCACTACTGAAGTCGCTTGCAATCAGCTCCAAGCCCGACGCCGTCGCCCCTAGAAGCGGCGGGGGGTCATGTCCCACCGGGGCAAAGGGCTCGGTACCGGCCTCCGTCTCGGGCTCCGAGCTGTAGTCAGGGTCCGTTGCAATTGTAGAACCGCACCAAGCGGGTGCTGCGCCGCCGTCCTCTGAAGCCTTGCTAGAAGCGTTGTCGAGACCTTGCCCGACCATGCCTGGCGTTGTTGGCGACTCACGAATCTTAGCGTCGCACATTAGCCCCACAACGACTTGCTCCGCCTGGCTCTGCTCCTGCGGCTGCAGGTTACACAGCGCTACCCATGCGCGGTCCTTAGCGGCTGGTAGCTTAAGGGCCTCCGGCATGGCAGATCCAGGTAGGCTGCTGGTTGCTGTGCTGACGACCGTAGCTGGGGGATAGTCGTGATCCGCACCAGTCGCATGGCGGTCTTGCGGGGTTGTCAAGTTGTCGTCGCTGGTTGGCACGCGCTCCCCGTTGTTATCCGTTGGTAGGCTGGGATCCATAAGGTCAACGGGCTCAGGCGGGCACGCGTTAGCGCCCATGGCGGCAGTGAAGCTGTGATCCGCTTGCGGGTTAGAGGGTACGGTAACCCGTTGGTCGCTGCCGAAGATGTAGACGTTGGCGGGGTCGCAATGCAGAGCAGTACACAAAGGTACCAAGCCCCTCTTGACCTTGCTAAAAGTCTTGTCCTCAACCCGGTACTCCATGTCGCATGGATACGCAGGAACGTGGGCCGTGCGTTCTCGAGTGGTTGCTGAAGAACGGTGTACCCTGTACGGCAATGCGTGGCGGCCGTACAGCTGAGCGGCGTTGTCCGGACGGGCTGTAGCCGGACGCGTTGCAGCAGGCGATGGTGCCGGGGTGAGCTGACGAGTAGCCACAGGCGATGACACGTTGCGCGGGCCAGGGGTTGGCGGCGCCGTAGTGAACGGCCTAGCAGAAGGTGCTTGTGGACAGGCCTCGTACAGAAAAGGCTCAGGCTCCAGCTCCCATAAGTCCGCATACTCCGGCGCGGAAAGGCCTTGCGGACATGGGGTCGGGTTGCAGTAACGCGCCTGGGGTCCACCCTCCAGCAGCAGGGTGAGATGTGCCATCTGCTTCGCTAGGTTGGCCACCTGGGACTCGTGCGGTGTAGCAGCAGGGCTAGACGTGGACGGCCGAGGGCCATCATGCCGGTGTTGTACGTCCTGACGGGCCTGATGGTATGGCGGCATGGCGTCGCGACGGTATGGGGATTCGTACGGGCGCCTGGGACTTGAGGGTACGGCGTTGCTGTGAATGTTGCGCGTACGGCACTCTTGGTGGCCAAGCGATGATTCAACATGCCTTACGCCGGAGTCCTCTTGTACAGCAAGACGCTGAACTCCTTCATCAATGTAGACGGCATCCTTCACTGCTTGTTCGAATGTTGCCGGGCGCATGAGGTACACGCGGCTGTAGACATGAGAGGCTAGCCCCTGTAGGAAGCTGTACAGGTGTACTGGGTCTGCGTTAAGGTTAATGCGCAGACGGGCAGCCAGCTCCCTGAACCGGTCAGCATACGCACGGACGGACTCGCCCCTTCCTTGTTGACAGCGGGTTAGACGGCTGTACAGCTCCTCCTTGACCTCGCCAAACCGCTCCAGAAAGGCCGTCTTGAACAGATCCCACGTGTTGACGGTGGCCTCCACGCCATAGAACCAAGTGGCCGCAGTGTCGCCAAGCCGGCAGACAGCAACGTCCAGCTTGTTGGCGTCAGACCAAGTGTACATGCGCCCAAGACGCTCCAGCCCCTCCACCCACTGTACGGCATCTTCAGATGGCCGATAAGTCGGAATGGAGTTGACAGCAGACGGATGGAGGTATCCAGCCTGCCCTGCGCTGCCGGGGTCTTGCCCTTCCATAATCCTTGGAGGGGTTCTTCAGTCTTCCAGGCGTTGAAGAGGCGTGGGGACAGCAGAGTGGCAGCTAAAGCCTGGTCTCGATACCAAGGCGCGCCGAGCGACCCTCCCCTAAGAGCATTTTTTTCGCGACTCAGGGGCGGCGTCACTCTAAGCCTAAAGCTGCCCAAGGACCCTAGTTGTCACTACTGCTGCCGTATAGTGCCGTAAGGCGCCGACACACTATACTTTGACCACACCGCCTCTGCTACTGTGTGTGTATTGAAGGCTACTAACGGGGCTGTATATCGAGACTTGTAAGCGTGCGGAAGTAGTGTAACGGGGTAATATCCAAGCACGTATGTCCACCTAAGTCTTATCAGTAGTAAGAGACCGTAGGTTGTTGTTGCTGTACCAAGTACTTGTTTGCAGTGGCAGGCAAGGGTAAGGTACAGAAGAGGGAAGGGGCTGTTGCTGACCTTCCAAACGTGCGAGAGTAAAGGGCGCTAGGGGTGCGACCCTTGTTGACAGGAGAGTAGTCTTGCTTTGCCTTGACTTGTTACCAGAAAGGGGAGAAGGGCTATCGGGCCTTTGCCGGAACTGTCTGCCTACCCGTCTCCTGGGTTAGGATCTTGGACTAGTTAACTAAAATAACACAAAACTCCGTCTTATATACTAATGGGAAAAGTACGACAATTGTACGGAAACCTACTATTGGCCTGCCAGATCCTACTATGGCAGCTGCCAGAAGCTGCCAACGTAATTTTAGAACAATCCAGACACTCTAGAACATTCCAGAGGCCTTTCGCCACCTTCGGACAGCTTCCCGTACTTGGTCTCGGAGGCCAACAGACCATTGCTTAAATCCCTTCCACGAACTATAAAAGGGAACTCATAAAAGGTATAATTTCGTCCAACCGATTGCAGTATAACAACAAAGCATATTCGGGAAGTACCAGCGCATCCAGATGCCGAACCGCAAACCGAGCAAACTACTGTTAGGGCGAGATTTACCAGTCAGAAGCAAAGCACTAAAGGCTGTTTAGCAATCTATGGTAAATTCCATGACACATTCATTCAGGAAGACGCCTGCATAAGCGGTTTCCCTAAGTAAGGTTTCACGTACTGAGCTGCTGTGTTTACCTTTTGTCGACTCCGAAAATGCCGACAGAAACGGTGCGGTCATACATTGTTGCATTGGTGGAAGTCGCTTCCTCTTGACAGATTTGTCAGCAGCAGGCTGGATGTCAGGGAACATGTTGGACTTGCTCGACATACCATCATCGGACAATGAATGCTTGCAGAGTCAGGAATCCCTGCATTGCAGCTGTCCTATCTATGCCTGTGCAGAAGGGTCTTCATGTTTTAAACTTTAGCTGCCACGTTTGTGTTTTTGAGTGTTGCTGTGGTGTCAAGTGCCGTAATATCCCGGGGCTCGCCCAAGTACGAA